AAGGAAGGCAGGAAGGCAGGCAGGAAGGCAGGCAGGAAGGAAGGCAGGAAGGCAGGAAGGCAGGAAGGCAGGAAGGCAGGAAGGCAGGAAGGCAGGAAGGAAGGAAGGAAGGAAGGAAGGAAGGAAGGAAGGAAGGAAGGAAGGAAGGAAGGAAGGAAGGAAGGAAGGACCTGAGCTATTATATTTTTTAAATTCAGGGAATATTTACATGTTAAGGGGGAAAAGGACAGACAACAGGCATGCACCTTCTAATTTCTGATCAGTTACTAATTAGCTTAAGAAATCTTTTCTCCAGAGAAAGAAAAAAACACTGAAAGTCTAAAAACAAGTTAGAGAGTCTTTAAGTCTGTATTGTTTGTGGCACAAGGATTTACATTGATTTGATTTTCTCCATTATAAAAACCTCCCTGTTTAGTTGCCAACTTTATTTCTTTTTGGACATTAAATGAAACTTAAAATTCTGCCTACTACAATAAAAAAAAATAAAGCTGTTATATTCTGTGACATTTCCATAAATAAAGAATAGTTCAATTTGAATTTGTAAAAAGACAGGCTTCATATACCTGTTTTATGTCTCACCCAGCTGTTGTTTTAATAGCTTTGTTGTCCCTTTCTTCTCATAAAGAGACCAGTCACAGAGATCTTAACAAATTCAATCCAATAGCATCCTTAGTGCTTGAAGTAAACAAGTTCTCAGTATAACTGAGAACACTTCAGTGTCCTGTGGAATGATCCAATCACATCAAAGTGTGCCTTGGGACTACACTGCCAGGAAGACCCAGATAAGCGCTGCGCCGTCTCTACCGTATATGGTTTGGAAAGCACTCACAGGCTTTTATGATATGTGAACAAGTACATTGCAGGAACTTAAGACTGGCATTTTTATCTCTGAACTTGAAGGCATTTTTAAAATGAGAAAGTAAACGTCTACAGCTAAACACATAAAAAATGTCTACAGCTACACCATAAAAACCTAGCTTTCTGCAGGTGGCAAAACAAGTGTGTGTTTTGTATTTGTTCACTCCCATTAAGAAAAATAAATCTGAAAGTTTGTTGTGCTTTGCAGTTGCCTTTGTACAAATCACAAACTTAAATCATTACACTGAAAAAACACATCTGGTACTGAAACATGGTGATGAACTACAGCTGATCAATGGCCTGGTCCTGCTTGGTATCTCCAACATCCATTTTCATTACTATCTACTGCAAACTCAAGAAAATGGAATTGTTTTGGATGATGTTATTCCTTTCTGTGCCACAGCTACATCATTTGTGCCTGAAACTTTATCTGCAGTAAGTCTGGAGACTGGAATATGCTGGCATTACCTTGCACACATGAATTGACAGCACACTAGCTCTGAAGATTTTTTGAAGTCTGACAGCTACAGAAAATGAACTGGTCTGTACTTGCATGGCGGTATGTCTGAAATTCCCAAAATTAAGGCTACTTTTTCAGAGCCTTTGAGCAGCAACTCAAACTGAACTGATCAGGAAAAGCACAAAGTCAGAATTTCTGGCCAGGCAATTAAGAATCTAACGTTGCTTGGGGAAACCCTGACATCTGCACATCATTTACGTACAGGAAAAAGAAGCAAATAAGGAATTTCCTCTGAGAGGATCTCCAGTGTATAATAGACATCACAATATGATGGGGTTATACAGTCTACAAAAGTGAACCTTGATTTCAGAGAACGCTGGTAACATGAACAAAGAAGAACCATATGAGGTAAAAGACAGAAGATGGAGCACTCTGGTTAGTCAAAACTTTCCTAGCTTGCATGTGACAACATTCAGAAAAAATTACATTGAAAATAACATAAAAATAGATACAGTGGGTAAAAAAAAAACAACAACAAAACCCAGAAAAAAATCTTCAAATTGAAGGAGCTACCTACATTATTCCTGGAGAAGACATTGTTCATCCAGTTGGTGAAGGTTTTCTTTTGCATGGACATACGCTGCTCCTGCAGCTTTTTGATATGACCTTTTTCATATTCGGTGCCCATGGTCACCTAGGAAGTCAGAAGCCTCAGTAGGCTGCTGAGTGCTGAAGAGATCTGCCAGGCCACCTACAAGAAACAGTCACATTCCCAGTGTATATATGAAACCCAGCACCAACAGGTACAAGAATCAATACCACACCCAGTGTAATACTCTAATTTCCTTTTGCTTGCACTTTGAACTTTAATTTCACCAACTTTATTTTTAACTTGCTTGATCTCACCCTTTTAAAATACATCTCTAGTTTCAGGATGAAAATGTGACATGTGAACCTATGCAACTTTATTTTCTTTCTCTCAGCCTTCACCCAGTCTCCTTAATCCCATGAGGACCACCACTACCTGAAAGCCATCAATAACTTCCTTGGGTGTGCTGGAAGCACATCACAGAGAACTGGTCTTAGACACTGCCAGAAGGAGGAATCCACAGATCACTTCCAAAAAGAAAAAGTGGTGTATTCTCTGAGGACTGGCTGAGATGCTCTTGTTGGCTTTCAGACCACAATACTTCCAACAGAAATCAAAGTGCTGCTTTGAAAAGAAATGGAATCTACTTGATTCCTTCCTCACATGGGTTCAGTTTTTGCACATCTATCACAGCAAGGATGGTGACACAGGTCCACAATCCATGAACAAGGCCCTAGCCTGGGTGTCAGGAAGCATTATTCCTATTTCCTACTCTTGTCTACCTCATCCATACCAGGGAAAAGTCAGGCTTGTGATTCCTCACAGTACCCAAGCTGAATATTCAGAAATATTAGAAGGGAGAAGTCTTCCCTTTTGAGTCTGTGACACAATAAACTGGATTTCAGCTCAGCTGAGTAGTTCTTTTGAAGACTCAGCTTACACTGTAAATTGTAACAGCAGTGACCTTGCTGTTTGGAAGGCAAGAGGATCACTTTAAAAAAAAAAAGAAAGAAAAGTCATGTAAGATCCATGGCTACAGACGCCATTAGTGACCAGACATCATCTGCTTGAACTACTGCCATAATTATAAGTATCACCTGGATATCAGCCTGGCTGGGAAACCAAGAAACTTGTTGTAGTGATGGGAGAGGAAAGAGGTGTCTACTGCTAGAAACCCACTTCAAAGAAAGAAGAGAATGAAAAATTAAAACATCTGAGAAACTGTGAGAGTGTGGAGCAGTGTGACCTGCTTCCCAAAATTCCATGTTTGTTTTGCAAAATTGAAGTTCTGAACAGTTATGGGCTTTGTACCCATTTAATTCATCAAACATAAAATACTGGAAAATAAAACTGAATCTGTTGCAGCGTAAGAAGACAGCAACAGAGAACTAACAACAGCACCCACTGCAAATGGGAAATCTTTTGCCTGATAGTTTTCCATGCTCTGATTAGTAAAAAAATAATTTCCATTTTACAATATTCTAAGGTGTGTGAGGTACAGAAGCAATGTCTTTTTTACTGCATTTTTTGTTATGTCTTTTTGGGGCAGATGTTTCTTAAATCTCAGCGCTTGACTTCTTCAGAACATGGACAGCATTGAATCATCATGGCTCAGCTACAGCACAGGAAAGAGACATGACTGTAGATGAAAGCCTAATGAAAGGAAAGTTTAGCAAAATCTGAAATAGAATTATGGAGAACGTACTCTCAACATTTTCTTATCTTCTAGTCTAGTTCAGCACTGGCTACTTTCTCCATTTGAAGAGCAGATATTCAGAGAATCCCTTTCCTTGCTGGAGAGGTGATATTAACTCACTCCCATGCAATAACCCATAGAGGTAACCCATATCATAATGCCATTTCTGAGTTTGCCAGAAGCTTCTCAGAATATCTGCAGGCTTCTTTTGTTCCTAAGGATTGCTACCCAAACACTGCAGTCACCCCAAATAATGATGGAGCTGGTTTAATTTAGGTACAAAAGAAACTCACACAACAGCTCACCTGCTTCATCAAGTTAGAAATGCTCCCAGTATGGGTAGATGATTACCTAAAGACAGATCTGTAATAGATTGTCCACATTTGCAGGATGCATAAACAGCTCTAAGAGCCAAAACTAGTCATAATGGTACATTACAAGAAAAGAAAATATCAAATAACGTGAAAAAAAATTGACTTACCCAGTTTTGGAGGAAGTCCTTTCTGACATTCAGCAGCTGGTTCTTCTGAGGAATGACTTCCACTGGATCCACTCCTACATTCACCTCACTGCTTTAATGCAGAGCGACCTTTGGTTTCAGGAACAGAGACCGAGTATTTATGATATACCTATGAACCTTTCATCTCATCTGAAAGAAATGAACCCATCAGAACACAATGAGTAAAGGTTCACAGGCCTTGTCCAGTTCTTATATTAAAAAAATAATATATGAACATCACCAAAATTGCTGTAAAGCAGTTGAAAAGTCATACATAGCTCTGATGCTTTAGTAAAGAGACTCTTGCACAATTGAACTGGAGGTTCTGCCCTTCTAAAGAAATTCTTACCTGGAAATTGAACCTGACAGTGGACTCAGGAAATGAAAGCACAGCAGTAAGTACAAAGATCAGAGTGATAGCCAAGTGGTTAAACTGGGAGACAGCAAATGAGAAGGTGAAACTGTGAAGTGTTAGAAATTTGCTCAGCACTGAGGAAGCTTCTGTGCACAGATACCTGCTGCTGGCAGAGCATACTGGGGTCAAGCTGGCAGTGCCAGCTGATTCCAAATTTTACTATTCATGGGTTTCTCATTAATAACAAAAGGGAAAATAATTCTGGTGACTTATGTAGATAGCAGTGAGTCCTTTCTGCCCTTTACAAGGTCACACATGCACAGAACACATTTACCATTGCCAGGAATCAGAAAGTTGGTGCTGGTAATCACTACTAGAAAATGGGCAGGTATCTGAAAGCAGGGGCTGTAAGGAAAGATGTCAAGCTCAGAGATGAGCTAAGGGACTAGCAGTATTTTCTCTTTTAGCAAGTGTATTTTAGCTAGCCTCCAAAAGGGATAGGAAGAAACATAAAAAGAAATTAAAAACCCACAAAAGGGACAGGAGGAAACATAAGAAGAAATTAGGAACCCACCCAAACTCAGGACAGGTAAAATTTGATCAGTAGATTCTGTCTCTTCATATGCACACTAGAGAAATATAATATATAATGTCACATAAAACTGATAAAAATAAATTAGTTTATATTTATGTAAGTTTATATTTTATATAAGTTTAATATTTATATTACAGGTATTTCTCAAAATATTCCCTCCAAATGCTTGGACTCATCTCCTGAACTAGCCAACTACTACTGTAAGCTGTTGGTTTAAATCTGGCACAGGTTGGCTAGGTTGTGTGAGAAAATGTCCTTTCTCCTTTCAAATAGAAGGCAGAGGACCAGTGGGTGAATTGGTACTGGATGCAGGCATTTCTCCATATTGCAAGTTAATTATTATCTATATGGTTAAATGTGCAAATCGCCGTCTTTGCTTTTTATGATGATACAAGGCAATCAAAGATATGGTATAAAATTTCACTAACTCCTGAATATCTATCTAAAGTTCAAAGTTAAATGGTGGACACTTATGTGACAGTGATAAATAAAGCCATTTCCTCAGTTATTTATATCTTAACAAAGAGGAAGGGCACAACAATATTTGCGTGCAGTTTCCTGGAGGCATCAGGAAAAAAATCACCCATCTCGGCTAATTATGGGCCCTCTCTTGCTGCCTTTGCAGACAAGGAAAGCCTTTCTGCCGACCTCAGGAAGAAGGGCCTGAAGAGTACCCTTCCCTCACCTTGTTCCAGCCTGAAGTGGTTTTCCATGATGGCAGGAGTGTTTCTTTGTTTCCTAACAGGAAGGATCCTGGTGCCGGATTCTCCTCCACAAAATAGCCGTCAATAAGATGTGTTAGGGTTTCTTAACACCCTTTCTTATCTGCCCACAGTCTTGTTCTGCTTAAGAGGAAAACGGAGACTGTGGAGATCAAACAGACCTCATACACAGGCAGCTTGTCTAGCAGCCCCAAAACTGCACAGTTCCCAGCCCGTCCTCCACTGCTCCTCCACTCCTGGCCACAGCACATAAATCAGAGAAGGACATGACACTTAGTTCTATCTATGTGAATTCTTTTTCTTAAATGTTGTCATTGTCCTCCTCTCGTAACACACATGTGAATTCCCTGCTCCTCTCTCAGATGGGAAGAAATGTTTAATTCCCCCGCCATAAAAGCATCAAAGTGACAGCCACAGAGTTTGCTGCTGAGTTTGGTCCCACCACTCCCAGCCCCGGTCTCAGGTGAGGGGTGATCACCATGAGCTTTCCCAGGGCAGCACAGGCTTCCCCTCATCATTGCCTTTGCCCACAGGGTTGGAGGAGTCTGCCAAAGAGGAAAACACATACACAGCTGGGTGCAGAAGCCTTCCTGGGACAAAGCATCCCCACTAAGGGCATTTGTAGCTGACAGTGCTGTAACTTAATGAGCCCTTCACTGTACCCAGCTGCTACAGGCGTGCTCTGCGCTGCCAGCGAGCAAAGCCAGCTCCGGTTTCAAAGCCTTGTGGCCACACGCGTTCCTGCTTTTGCAGGGGCCGAGGCTGTCCACATGGCTCAGGTGGAAGGTTTGGCACCATCACCCTCCGTTACGTAAGCTTCGCATACACACCTTTCTGAAGGTACAAGAAAATCCTCTCTGCTCCCTGCTAAGGAGAGGGTTCCCCAAATCCCAAAGAAAACAAGCATGTTAAATGTAAACACGTGCATGGCATCTCAGCACTTTATCCCCCGCTGTGTTAATTCCACGTAAGAGTCACAAAACATCTGGACACTGACTCCACGGGGAATAAAGGCAGCCCCCTCCCGGGGCTACAGTCAGCTCCCAGTGTGCCAAGCAAGCACACAAATGATCCTGCTGCCTTCAGCCAGTAATCTGGGTCCCACAGGGGGCCCTTTCCCTCTGCCACCCTCCCCAGCTCTGGCAAACAGCTGATGTTCAGTTTCAACAATGCAGTGTGGGCACAGGTGAGCTGAACCATGATCCCAGAATGTTTCCTAACTGCATCTAACCACATTCTTAACCACAAATAACATGTAATCTTAGATCTCATTGCGGCGCAGAGGAACTAAGCTTTGGATATGGAGAACACTGGAGAAGAGCAGACAGTAAGTTATCACAAGAAGCTGTTCACTCACTTGGGAATGGAATACTAGAACTGAAGAAAAGTTGGGAGGAGTTAGTCAAAAGCAGCTGAGGAGAGGCATGGCAACTTCCAGCTCAGTCAGGGCAGATTCCCTGCTTTCACAGGCCTCTCAGTTGAACTTTTGTACCCAAAATAGCCACATAGTTCTCTCAGCCTCTTTCCCCGAAGGACTTCAGCACATCAGCCCCAGGCACCCCCCTTTCCCTGCCCCCTACATACCTGCTGTGCCAGCACTGCTGTCACCAGCCACCCTGGGGTGCCACCCACCTGCAGGCAGGGGGGTCCACGGTGGATGGAGCTTCTCTTCAAGCTTGGCTCTGCCTGGGAGAATCTAACCCGGCATCCCAGGATGCTGGGTTGCTATAAACCTCAGCCTCCACATGCTCTAGTCTAAACTAGAAGTTGCTTTTCTCTTTGAATAGCTGGCTAGCAGCGACATGACATCAACAGGGAGCAGAACTCAAGCAGAACAGTCGAGTTACATCATCCAAAGAAACTGGAGCCCCTCACTGCATTTGAAAAAAGAGGACAGCTTAAAGCAAAATCAGATGGATTTATTTTTCCTGGCATGAAGAAGTTCAGTCATCTTTTTGAAACAGAAAATATACGTTTGCTTGTTTAGTCATGAGTTAAAGATATTTTCTCCTTGGAGCTGTTTATATTATCTTGAAATTTCCCTTCTGTTTCTGAACCTCAAATAGTTAACATAAGAGCTTCAAAGGCTTTTTGAGATGAACACATGGGACAGAGGACTTTCAGTCTCTTTGCATTTCATACAAACATAGATAAAAGGTTTCAAGCGACAGAATAGCCTTAATATTTTGAACATCAAAGTGAAACTTGGCCTTAGAAATCACCATGTTGGCAATGCCAGATCTAACTAGCGTATTTTTATCATTTATTTCCGATATTTCCATTTTTTTCATTGATACTAATGAAGACTGTTGCATAAGAGTGAAAATTCTTATTCACAGCTGTATTTTAGGGGGTTGTTTGTATATCAGACTGATAAAGCACTTGGCTCCATTTATTGACAAAACAAAACTGTGGGATTCACATATGGAAGTGTTTCCCAGCACCCTTAGTGCCAGAGCACTGCACTTTCCCCCAGGGCCAGTGCACACCATGGTGTGCTCTCCGTGTGGGTCCCCTCACCAGCAGATTATTGACTGCAAACCAGCCCAGCCATCCCAGCTTCCTTGTGAAGGTGTCCAGTCAGGTGGAATGCTTGAAGGTCATTGGCAAAAACACTCTATAAATATTTAACAAAAATGTACAAACAGTTAACGTTAAAGGTGCGAATTTTAGCAGATGAGAGCCAAGACATGGTAATACAACAGGAATAAAAATGGCAATTACTCTCCATTACAGGCAAAAACTGCCAAACCCTGAGCTTACTGGTCATGCTTACGTTGTTTTTTAATTTCTTACTTTCAGACTAGACACAAAAGAATTCATTTTGAGAAAAAAACACAGAATTATCTGAAAAGATAATCAGTAAGCATAAGCAGCATGTTTCAGCAGTTCCTTGTTTAAAAAATTGAAAAATGTTGAACACAGAAATTTCACAGTATACATAAAATACAGCAGCTGGCGAGAGATATACATCATTCACGAGCTACCTTCACTACAATGAAATCTTCAGAGCTCTAGGCTGAAGTGGAATATGGGTTGCTGAGCTAGCAAAACTTTGGAAAGAACATGGACAAGCTCCATCTCAGAGAAAAGAACAAACAAATTGGTGGAAAAACAATTCAGTTGTGGCATTAGTGAGCTTCCAGTATTCACTGGATTAGAAACTGAGTCCACAAATCTGTGCTGGCATGAAGTCCTCCACAGGGGAAAAGGAGAGGAGTCTGCCTCAAAACCATGGCTTCCATCCATATTTTTCCCTCAGGTCAGAAAATATGCATATATTCGGGACTTCTGAACATACTAGTGAAAAACCACCTTATCTTCCTGACTGTGTTTTGATCACAACAGGTTTTTATTTGGTATGAATGTTTATTTCCAGCTCATTGCCGTGATCACTGAGTGAAGGAAGGCACTTTCAACAGATGCATTTGTTCACCTGTCTGAGCCGGGCAAGGCAGCCAAACT